AGCACGAAGGCTGGGATGCTGCCCGGTCGCCCAAGCCTTGAACAGGGAAGCCGAGAGGCAGAGGTCGGGTTCAAACTGTCCGGTCAGTAAATTCGTGCTCTAACCACTTGAGCCGTCTCGCCCCTACCAGTGAAATAAGTATGCCGTGTTTTATCGTCGCGAGCTGTCATGTAAACTGCAGGAGACAATAATTGAGCGACAACCAAGGTGTCATGCTCTAGCTAGAGATGTGAAGCTAGGTGAGACAATGGGTTACTGATCGCTTCTAAAATGGCTTTTGACTCTTTCAATTTCTGAGAGAACTAGTGGCTCCCGTCGACTTACGGTACATCTGCGGTGGAAATTATTGGTCGTNTCGTGTAGTGTTGTTTTGTCCTGGTCGCTTGTTAGTTTTTACTCAATTATATAACAGGAAATTTTGGGGAGTTAAAATCGGTTGTCCGTAAATTAAATTATATTTGTTGTCATTCTCTGTTTTGGTGACAGCATTTCACAGATGCTCACTGAGTCATACCCTTGTAAGCCTTGAGTTGTCGTGGGGCGAGATGACCCAAGTGGTTAGAGCGCGAATTTACTGACCGGAAGGTCCGTGGTTCGAATCCGACCTCCGCCACTCGACTTCCCCTGTCTAGGCTTGGGCAACCTGGCAGTATCCCAGCCCTCGTCCTTCCTTCGGGTGGCATGGCAGCTAGGCACCGGAAGGGTACTACAGTTGAACGCCTTCTCATGTCTTTCTGTTCTTTCCTGCCTATCTATGCGTGTAGTTTTTTAAATCGGGTGGCGGCATTGCTGGTGCAGTAAATGCTAGAATCATTGAAGCCCATCGTGCTTTTTTTTCTGAACATGCTTTCCTTCAGCTCCGACACCCCTGGGGTCAACGTGGCACTAACCTATGTATGAAATACAAGGTCTACACCGCACCAGTGCGTTTTACTTCACAATTGTAAGGTCTGGTCGCTGTGTGTTTCAGACAGGGGAATGTTGCTCGTCTTGGTAGTAGTTGCCTTCGAAGTGTTGTACATGCATCATGGGAACATCAGATGGGCAATGCTAAAGCCCGATGGATGGGTCTCGACAACAAATCAGCTACTTGTCCAACTGATGGATTGATTCGGTTGCACCAATTTTACCGTCTGTTCTATATGTTCCATATGTCGTACTATGTCTGCTGAAGCAGGTTCCGGATGGCAGATATTATAAGCTGGACAGCTAATGATCTAGAGACAGCATGGAGAACAAAAAAGAATCTCTGATGCATTAGTACATGTCATCTGCGGGGTTGGGATATCCGCAGTGGTTGGAAGTACTCACCTAGGAAAGCAATCTCACATGGTGGTGTTGCTTTATCCTCTTGTTCTTAAGCACCAATCCACTGTTATTGTTTTTTAGCATTCTTCACCCCCTCATCCTACACTATCCACTACATCATCATCATCATCATCATCATACTCACCTAGGCAATCTCACATGGTGGTGTTGCTTTATCCTCTTGTTCTTAAGCACCAATCCACTGTTATTGTTTTTTAGCATTCTTCACTCACCCATCCTACACTATCCACTACATCATCATCATCATCATCATCATCATCATCATCATCATCATCAACGACAGCATGACATCAGTGCTCAACACCAATGCTTCACTGCCGTACAGCCATGACTTATTTGAAAGCCTTAT